ACTTTCAAAATTCTTTTCACCATCGCCAACCTTTTCTCTGCAGCTGTTGTAACCATTACCTCGTGCAGCCACTCGGCCTTAAATGGCCCCATCAGACCAACATCAAGCGGTTGAACGGTACTAGTTGCGTTCGCTGGCAGCTCTTCCAGCACACAGTATAAGTCGCCACGGACTAACTCGCACGCCGCAGGTGTGACATGCGCCGACTGCTTGTCGACCACCACAACCACAACAGACGGTGCCTCGATATCGTACTGGACGAGCTCGCGCAGGTAGATGTCCCACACTCGCTCATCCATCCACGCATTCTCTTGGACAGCGTAGATTGCGTCACGTGGATACGTCGGCAACTCGTCCTGCTCCACAGGACCGCCAGGCTGACCACGAACGATGATGCAGGGAGGCAACTTGCGTCCTAGATGACACGTAAGTATCGATCATGAACACAATCTCACCATCTGCGCGTATGGCAAGGACGGCGGTCACCCGGTCAGAGTGCTTCTGCTGGCGATCAACTTTGGCCGACTTCCCCATTCGTGCCCATGTACGACGTGGCGGCATGTCATAATGTACTCCAGTTTGTTCCCGCGGTCGTAGGCACTGTACTTGGACCAGAACGATTGTGCGTACTGAACGCGCGTGTGGCCTGCAAGTCCTCCTGCGTCCATTTTGACGCACAGGGTACGTCCTGCGATAACCCGTGGCAGTGCGCAAAGGCTTGTCACCATCCCAGGATGGCCTTGTACGATCGTGACGGACCCGCCTTGCCTTTCAGGTACGAGTTAAGCGAGGCAGGTTGATGGTTCTTCAGCCATGTCACAAGGTGCGCTGTCGTCAAGAACTTCTCGTGGTCGCGGACGCTGTCCATGAAGCTGGCCAGTGCGTCGCCGAAGTCCACCGCCTCGCTGTGGCCATGGCCACTGATAGTGGCGTTGCTGGTATGCTTCTTGGACTGGAGGAACTCCTCCTTTCGAGCCAGCCATCCTCGTAGGGTGGCGATGGGAACGTTCTCTTTTCGCGCGAACTCGCGGTCGCTGCTACATGGCCCGAGCGTGGAGTGCTTCTGCAAGAGAGCCTTTATTGTCCCAATAGTGTAACTCTGTTGCTTTCGCTTTGCAAGCAGGGTTGAGCGACGGTACGGTTTCAACAGCGGCTTGCGTCGAGGTGGCGCACGTCGTCGAGACTGCGTGCCCTTTGACATGGTCAGATTTTGAAATTCGTGCATCAGATTATTTTGAATAGCCCAATGAAAGGTGTTTGATTTCAAGATTACTCCAATAAGGTCTGTCGAGCGGTAGAGCTGTGATTGGCTTAATGTTGAATCGCAATTCAACCTCAAGTTGAATTATATTTCTGAAGTACAACTGTGGGCGAGTTCATCCTCGGTTCTCTGTACAGTACATATGCATGCATGTTGCGCATCATTGCGTGCCATTCCTGGAGATAAGCATACTTGTACCTCATAGTCGAAATTAACGCGGGTTTCCACTCAGGCTGGTCGAATGATGGTGAATTTACTCGCTGGAGTTGCGCTGAGATGCTCTAACAAAGGGTTAGAGAGCTTAGCAAGTTTTTATCTTGCTACAATAAGACGCATTGGGAGGCAGCCCTTCGAGTACTGAGATACTTGAAAGGGACGTCCGAATACGGCCTCTATTTAGATGGGACTTTAGGAGTTGTGCAGTATGAGGTCTACACGGACGCAGCTTTCGCGTGTCAACAAAAAGAACGTAAATCAGTATCTGGCTACTTGGTTCTATTAGCTGGAGCATGTATCTCTTGGTCTAGCTAGCTCTAGACAATATTGTGTTGCTCTATTAACCTTAGAGTCTGAGCTTGTAGTATTGAGTGAGGGAGCAAAGGAAAGCGAGTGGTTGTGGCACTTGTTGACCGAATTAGGATTTGTGCCTAAACAGCCTATTCAAATTTGGTGTGACAGTACGGCTGCTATTAAGTTGTGCCCAGAATCCTGGAAATCACAAAGGGCCGAACAAAATGTACTTACTTACACATGGAATGAATAGCTCCAAATCGGCAGAATCATTCGACCAATCAAAACACTCGAAGTGTTCAATTGACCACAATTGACCAATCAAATACTACCAAGAAGTCAGCCACTACAGGCTTTGCGTGCTTCAATATCGCGAATCCCGCAGCGCTACATTCAGGTACTAATGGTAATTCATCAAATTAACGATGTTTACCACAAACACG